CTTTCAGGTCATCCAGCTGCTGATGGAGGCCAGTGAGGAAGGTGTCCAGGAGGGTCTTGTTCCAAGCAGCAAAGGCTTCGTGGGTGCTGAGGAGGTTGAAGACCTGCTGGGTCATCTCGTGGAGGACAGCAACAGCTTGAGCCTTCTGCACCTGCTCACCCTCCAACTGCTCCTGGGGGAAGGCAAAGTCCTTTCTGTAGTTCAGGCAGGAGAAAGTGGGAATTCTCCTCATTTTTTCCAGGAGGGTCCAGGTCCCCTCCTCATTCCTGTCAGGAGTTTCAAGACCCAGGTTGTGAATCTGAGGCAGGTCACAGCCCAGACAGCAGGTGGCCTTGCAGTTGAATACCACCAGGGCCAGCAGGAAAGCCAAGGGCAAGGCCATTGGGGATCTTGAAGATGCTGCTGTGCTGCTTGAGATGGATGATCTTGAATCTTTGCCTCTAGGTTCTCTGAAGCCCTTTACATGTTCCTATGTCTTATATAGAAACCATTATACTTTCAAGTTTCTGAATGTCACCCCTGGAACTTTCTACTTCTGTTTTTGCTTTCCTTTATGCATTCACTACATGTGCTTAGAGCACTGTTTCCCAACCAACCATTTTTTCAATATTGATTTTCTGTCCCCTGCCCTGAGACCCCCCTTTTAGAATTATTTTCCCAACTGAAACTCCTATTACTTTTTTTTTTCCTACTGGGTCATATCCTCTTCCTTTTTATTTTTATTTTTTATTTTGAGACAGGGTCTCACTAATTTGTTTAGGGACTTGCTTAGTTGCTGAAGCTGGCCTCCTTCTCTTTCAGCTTCTGCAGTCACTGGGATAGCAGGTGTGTGCCATCTTTCCTGGCGTCAATGCGGTGGGAGGGGTGTACTAGGAGAGAATAGAGTTACTTTGGATTAAGTAGAGGGGAGTAAATGGAGGGTAGGAAATATGAGGATAAGAAGGATAGTTGAATGAAACAGACATTATTACCTTATGTACATATATGACTGCATGACCAATGTGATTCTATAACATGTACAATGAGAAAATTAGAAATTATACCCCATTTATGTATGATATATCAAAGTGCATAAATGCATTCTACTACTATGTATAACTAAAACAAAAAAAATTAAGCTAAAAGTTAATCAGGAAAGCTTTTGGTATTGAATTTAACTTTCTAATTAAGTTTACTCTGTGGCTTTAATGTAACTAACTTACTTATAGAAATCATTGTATCATAGTCATGTGCCAATAAGCTCTTAATAAAAGCATAATAATTTTAATGTAATAAAATATTTAAAATCATTTAAATGCTATAAACTATGAAAAATTATTTTCTTCACATCTATTGTTAGTTTACTTTGCTTTAATTCCACAAAATTTTTTACTTCATTATTTGCTACATGTTTTTCAAAGAGTTGATATTTTCTTCTCTTCAGTACAGAACGTAATAATTGACAAGTTGAATAACATTAGTAGAATCCAATAGTAAGATACAAAATTTTTATATTTAATGTTCAAAGCCCAAAACACACTCATAAGCACTGTTTTGAACTTAAGAAAAATTTACATTGAAGATAATGACAGTCCATCTCTATATGGAGGCCACCTCTCAGGATGTAATTTGGAGATTCAGCAACCCAGGAAAGTCCTCCAATCCCAGCCATCTATTTGCCACAGGTTTGGAACACTGATCTTGCGTACACTTTACTTATCTCCATGAACTCAGCACATGTGCTTTCCATGTCATACAAAGGAAAGCCAAATGACTTCTTTTTTTTTTTTTTCAGTGCTGGGGATCAAATCCAGGACTCTGTTGAGGCTACGCAAGCACTCCACCAGGTAGCTACATCCCCAGCCTAGAAAACCCAATGAGAAATGATACTAAGGTCTAAATTTTTTTAAAATTTATTTATTTTTTTATTTTTAATTTTTATATTTTTTATTGGTTGTTCAAAACATTACAAAGCTCATGATATATCATCTTTCATACATTTGACTCAATTGGGTTATGAACTCCCATTTTTACCCCAAATACAAATTTAAGGTATAAATTTTTGTCAGATAGGGTTAGCTTTGAGTACCTCAAAGGAGTAATTTTCACACTTTGGGAACCAATATCATGATAATGAGAAAACAAAATTGAGAAAATGCTCTCACTTTTATTTTTTTTAATTTAATTTCAAACTTTCTAAAGAAATTGCAGAAGTCTAATCCTAATTGACTCTTATCAACACAAGCAAATCATCTTTTTCCGAAATACCAATACTGAGATCTAAAGATATTAAGGTTAGTCGCCTGTGCAACTGTTCCACGTAGCACATAAGACACTAGATATTTTTCTTTCTCATTTTCTTCTTCATAGAAAGCAAAAGTTGTCACTTTTTATATCCCAATGATTGGAGACAAAAATAACACAAATACATGTCAAAATGTGATAAAAACATAAAGAAAACAATATCCTTCTAGAAAACAAAAGAGACAAAAAATAACTTAGCTACGTTCAGCCCAGCAAAGCAAATTACTAGATAGGATAGAAAAGAGGCAGTTGGGTAAGGAATGTAAAGGAAAGTAGCAAGCAGATGTGGGCTCAAGGAAGAGTCATTAATTCCTGGTCCAGGGCTTGTTTCCAGTTTTGCAAATCCAGGCTTCACATAGTGTGAGGGAAGACACACCAACCAACACATAAGTTCATGTGCAAGAAAGGCTAATTTGTGAGATCTCAGTATTTTATCTGGATAATGGAAAAGTGTTAGATATATTGAATTTTCCCTGATGAAGAAAAAAACCTCAAAGATCAGTATTCTTCCTGTAATTTTTCTCTGTCAAGAAACACAGAATTGATGCTTTCAAAATATATTTTCCCAAAGCTAGTAGAGATAAATAATATAAATCATGTTAATGAAAGAATGAAATATTTAAGTTGTATAAAGTTTTTACAGTCAATGAGACATTGCCCTTAGAATTTCTAAAATAATAATAATAATAATAGCAATATTCATGTTTCTATATATATTTACCATGTACCATTGCTCAGTCTATTGAATTTCCAGAGACCATAGCAGACAATGCTATTGCCCACATTTACCACAAAAAAAGGAAGTACAGGTGTCTCATGAATAGCGGAGTCAATGTTGGAACCCAATGCACCCTTTTCTCACTCCCCAGTCTCGCTTGGTTTCTGGGGACATTTCTGGCCAAAAGAACCAGAACTGATTTCTAGATTGATCAATATTTTCCTGTACAGCCCTTCTTCAGCCATGACAGTCTTTCAATTCAGCTCCCATTCCTCCCCTTCTCTTTGTCAGGCAATGTTACATAATAGCAAAATTGGCCTCCATACACTTACCAATGTTGTATCCTAGGCTGCCTTCTTTCAAATGTATCCACAAGAACTTAAATGTGTTGTTAAACAGTGTGTGCACCTCAGCACATATTTATGAACACCTCTTAGAAATCTTACATATTTCTATTCTTGCATTCAAGTATCTATAAAGCTCTCTACTGTATTCACCACAGCCCAAGGTTGTGGGTCATGATCAAGCCAGAGGCTTGAGACAAATTACAACTAAACCAAAGAACTAAGGCTCAGAGCTCACATCTGATAAGGCTCACAGAGGCAACTAAAGGTGTAGAAAGGAGAGCCTTTCTGGAGAAGGGAGAGTCCAGGGTACTTAAGATGGAGGACTGAGATGACAAAAGGCTCTGGGTCAACTGCCTTGCTAGTTGCTTCATGTCTCCTGTTTATAGCCTGGAAAAGTTTACATACTTTATATAAAGAGATATGAAAAATTGTGTTCTATATGTGTAATAAGAATTGCAATGCATTCCACTGCTGTCGTGTATTTAAAAAAATAAATAAATAAAAGATTAGAAAAAAAAGAAAAGTTTGCTGCTGGGTTTATTTTATAGACTTATTTGGAGAAGTGGGCTCAATAAATTGAAAATGTCGGGATAAAACAAAAGAAAAGATGTTGGAGGAAAAGAACATATTTGCAGTGGTAGAAAGTGATTGGACAAAATGAGCATAGAAATAGAGGAAACTCTGTCTTAGACTTTCCATATTTTCAGGTGGATATTTATGGTTGTAAAAACTACTGACCTTTATTCTTCCATTCTTTCAGGTCTAAACACACACACACACACACACACACACACACACTGTAAATGAGCATTTCCTTCCTTTATCTCCATTTATTTCTATGGGATAATGGACTCCATTCCAGTTTGACTACCAGATTTTGCATGCAATAATTAGAATAGTACTTTAGATTAAAAAGCACTGGATTTTGAGTCCTTAGTTCAAGGTTTTCCCTGCCAAGATTCTCATTCTTCTTTTTGTATGACTATATTCTCTCTTCTTGCTACCAGGGATGAAGCCTTTAATGACTTTGCATTTTGCTCCTCAGGGGATTAATCTCCAGAATATATAATGAAGTAAAAAGATGAATACCAAAAATACAAATAACCCAATTAATAAATGGGCAAAATAACTAAAGAGAAACTACTCAAAAGAAGAAACACAAATGATCAACCAATAAAAAAAATGTTCAATATCTCATCATCTCTAGCAATCAGGGAATTGCAAATCCAAACTACCTTGACATATCATCTCACTTTAATTAGAAAGGCAATTGTCAAGAATACAAATAGTAATAAATGCTGGCAAAAATGTGAGGGAATAGTACACTTGTTCATTTTTGGTGGGACTGCATAGTAGTACAATCACTGTGGAAAACAGTATACAGATTCCTCAAAAAACTAGGAATGCAACAACCACATGATCCAGTAATCCCCTCTTGGGTGTATATCCAAAACATCTAAAATCAGCATGCTCTAGGGAAGGAGCAACATCAAATTCATAGTAGCACAATTCATAATAGCCAAGCATTAAAACCAGCCTATGTGCCCATCAACAGAAGAAAGGATAAAGAAATGTGAGATAGACACACACACACACACACAATAGAGTTATTCAAACATATAGAATAATGAAATTATGGCATTTTCTAGTAAATTGATGAAACTGGAGAATATGATGCTAAGTGAAATAAACCAAAAGTCAAAGACTGGATGTTTTATCTCATATGCAGAACCTAAAGCAAAAAAATAAACAAACAAATCAATAACCAAGAAAAGAAAAGAAAAATGGGGTGGGGAATCCAAAGGGAGATGAGGAGATGAGTGTGGTGTAGAGAAAGGAGATTGAGAATGAGTGATATAGATAAAGGGGATTGAGAAGAAAGGAAGAGGGACGACTGGAAAAGGGAAGAACTGAGGAGTGAACTAACCAAACTTTCCTATCTACATACATGAAGGTAGCACAGTGAATTTAACCTATATTTATAATCATAACACAATAAACTCAAACTATAAATAAAAGGAAGAAATATCAGTA